GGAGTAATTGAAGTACTATGTCGGAAGACAGTAATGATTATGTCTAACTAAAGTACAGGGCCTGGGGCTCCACAAATATATGATTATTCAGATCAGCAATGATTGATTGGTCTAGAGCAAAATCTGGCTGGTACTTGATTATGTAGATGGCCTGATAGTCTATTTTGCCTGCAAAATCGAACATTCAGATAAACATACACAATAGGAGCAAAAATATATCATAGAACATACATGCTCATTGGCTGAAATAGAAAGTCCAATATTATCAGGGAGTTCTTTGGATAAGCATAAATCAGAATAGAGAGTCATAGCTGATAATAATTTGACGAAAACTTTAGAACTAATGACAGTAGATAATAAAATTTACTACAAATGTAATTACGTGAAGCACGGCGTGTATCTAATCAGTCCATACATGGCAGTTACTTAATTTGGAGGGTTCTTTGTCATCTCAGGAACACGAAATCCTTTGATCATGCAGTCAGCTGGAGAGGCTGTTAGCAAGTTCACAGAGGTTAGGATGGTGAGCTACCGCAACATAGAAGAAATGGAGAACAATTATGTTGCAAAAGAAGCTGGCTAACCAAGACAACTACAAAAATGATGGATGAACCAGAAGCAAACAGCTCAGGGGGTTTAGTGAGATTGGTTTCTTGTTTGGGTCCTAAATTCTTTCAAAAAAAAATCGTACCAAAATAACAAGCAATTTAAGCTTATGGTACAGATATTTGTATTCGATTAATTGTAAGTATCAATTCTTTCTTATTTACATATGCTTAATATTAAGAATTGTAACGACACACATTTTTGATGTGGGTATCAAAAAGAGCACCGAGCGAAACCTAGCCCAGCCTATCAATGGATAACAGGAAACAGGTGGACATGTACAATATGGTCAGGCCACACCACACCAAGCAGTCAAGCACCGCGAGAAACCAAATAGGGAATAGGTCACTATGTTATTGGGGATCAGCATCATGGTGCAAAGTAATGGCAAAGTAGAGGAAACAGCAGCGAATCTTCAGATGTCGTCACCACTCACTGCTCGAGAAGAGCCCGGAGTGTGGCGAGAGCCGCGGACACCTTGTCCCTGAGCTCAGCGAGCAGTGTGCAGATGCACGCGGCGACGGCGATGACATTTCTGTTACTCTGTAACAATAGAGATGTAGTATGTACAAATCAGCTAGAAAAATTGAGGAAAGAAATACAGAAGAAAAGGATACCTGTGTCCAATTCATTGAACGCATTGGCTTCATTATCCATGGAAGCGGCGATGCCGGCATTGAGTTTGTCTGTCGCTAGCAACGGTGAGCACACGGGGACACGAGGCAGCCACCGCTGTTCAGCTGTTGTCTTCCACATCGCTGGGCTGGGATCGCTGCGGACTGGTGCCGTGAGCGGCAAGCACTGAGGACAGAGATATGACAGGTGCAGCAGCGGCATCCGAGCTGCTGCCTATCTGTTTAGGGAGTCAAGGCCCATCAGATGTTTCGTGAACGTCGCCCCAAGGGAGAGGAGAAATGATCGGGAACCATGTAGACAATCCAACGCCAAGGAAAAAAAAAAGATGACGTGGCTCGATCACTGTCCAGGAAAAGCTCTAGAAGAGGTGTTGGATTCATATATGTAGACTAGAAACAGGGGCGTTGTGTTGCCACGCGTGCACCAGATTTGAGCCAGTGTAGAATTTAGTGTGCACCATGATCACCTAGAATACTCCCCAGATATACCAGCAGATATGGCCTTTGTATGGTGACCATTATCAAAGGATAAAATTGATCGCAGACGTTAATAGCACTGGAGAATATGGAAGAACCTCATTGTCATTTTTAATCTTAGCAAGAATGTTAAGAATATCACAGGCAACGAAACCATGAGGTGACATTATCTGCTTAGCAATGCGAAAGGATGAGACAACATCACATTTGCAATAGAGTACAATTAAGTCCAGAAATGTATGCAAGGGCCTATAGTTGGATGTGGTTTGACATAATTACAGATAATAAGTGTTTGAAATGGGCCTACGGCTAAGCAAGCAGTGTTTTTCAATCTTTCACTTCGTATGCCCTGTGTGTGTCGGCACACATAGGATGGCAGAAATGACAACAATTATAGTATCACTATTTTTAGCAAAAAAAAAAAGGAATAATTCTTCTCCTATTTTGATACTTATTTCTGTAGCCCAAAAAGGGTATCCATATAAATGTATTGAAGAGCATATCTTAATAATGAGTTTTGAATTCAACATGTGGCCAATTTTACGAATTCGAAAATTTTGAAGCTAACAATTTTATAATGTAGCCAAAACAAGAGTACTGACTATAGGCCCTTGAGAGACCAACCTTGAATTATGGTTAATAGGTTTGATTTTCTCATCTGGACTGTGCGTGAGATGCTTCAATGTTCTGACAGGTTTCAGAGATAATTGTGTAATGCCATGTCAAGTAACTGACGAGGCCATAGATATCCAGCTGAGCTGAATGAGCTTCATAATCCAGAAGTAGTAAAAATGGCATATGGATAAGTGGCTTCAAAAGATGTTTGCCTGTCACAACTTCATAATCCATATGTGATAAAAAAAAAATGGCATATGGATAGATAGCTCCAAAAGATGCCTTTGCCTGTCAGAGCTTAGATAGAAAGGATTTACATCTCCAGTGTCAACTATACAATTTGGACTTGAAAGTTAATAGATCAAATTTTAGAACAATGGGATTCATTGGTTTGTATCATAAGTAACCTATTTTGCATAAATTTTGGTTAGTTCGATGGCAATGGAAAAAACGCTATTCTTAAATCTTAGATCTGGCTGATCTTGAAATACATTGAAGAAAGAGGGAAAGGAGAATATACCTAGTGGGAGTCAAGAGAAGAGCTGGGATTAGCAGGGGCACCAATCGCATTGTCAGAATTGGAGCTGTAGCTGCACCTGTACTCTCGAACTGCGGCCTTGTACAAGAGAGAAGGGAGCAGCAGCAACCTGCATCTGTTGGGGAAGGAAGATAGCAGGGAGCGACTTACCATGGCGGACCAGACCAGCGAGTGGTTTTAGGACGGGGCTGCTGATGTAGCCTGTAGGAGGCGGTGTTGGCGCAAGCTCTAGCCATGGCGGCATCGTGTGCCGAGGCTCTGCAGCGCCGCAATTGGCCCGCGTGCGAATGGAGGGCGAGGGAAGCCACGGCGAAGTGTTGGAGCCAGGTGCCAATGGCACGCACCCTGTGTATCTGAAGAATTCGTAAAACACTAGACACATGAAAAATATATATCTGAAGAATTCGTAAAACATTCTAATCGCATTTTGAAAACTTTCCACAACAAAACTAAAACACGAGACACATGCAGCATGAATACACTCAAAGCTAACATATGTTACATGTTGGTTGTATTTCATATTTTTTGTGGGAAGTATTTAGAAACATGTTTAGACATTAATTATAATGTTTTAGGAATTTCCTGTATTTTATGGGGTTTTTTTCATTTTCTTATAGCTAAATCCTGGAATCTTCTAAACATATTCTCATGAGCTCTATAAAGTTTATCCAGGTTTTTTATGCCCCTATCTATCTCTAGGATTTTTTTAAAAATCTTATAAGCTTGAGATTTTTTTTTAAAAAAAAACATATCGGATATATTTACTATTGAGATAAAAGGATGAAACCATCTTAAAAACACTTCTAACAGCGGCTGGGAGTTAGTTTAAATTATTTCATGAGTTACGGGAGACAATTTGTCCAGATTTAATGTTCAAGGATTAAATATATCGATTGCTGCAATATCTCCGGAAGGTAACAGATTATGTTTGTTTCTTTTTTTGGCCTGACCTGATAGCCTGCCTGTCTTTTTTTTTGGACAACAAGCCTGCCTGTCATTGGATGGGCCAAAGGCTGGCCCAGTCAAGAGGCAGGTTTGTTGGATTCACGAAATACCACCTCTGTTCTTCTCAGAACTGAAAAAAAAAAAAACTCCTCAGCAACTAGATTATTTCAGGAGTCATGTTTCATACTGACAAACACAAGCGGGCCTACATTGAAAACAGTGCACAATTGCTATATTATTTGTACAACTTTCCATATGCTGACGATTTCAATAGCGATATTTTCTCCTCATTAGATGGAAATTTTTGCTCATGTTAACAAGTATATATAACAATCGTCAGCCATGTATTCAATTGCAACCTTGCCGTTTTGAAGATTATAAAATACCGTATTATGATCATGCGTAAAAATAGGGAGACAAAAAGGGAAAATATGGTGCTATATGTGATCGAAAAGGACCTTGTAAATTTGAGATAAACTGTATGATGTTTAATATACAGGAACAAGCCATAGAAAAGAGACATAGATACAAGATAGCTTCAGACAGAATCACAGTTATACGCTTGCACATAGCACAATTTGAGATTAACCAGGGCCAATCGCATCAATGTGAAGACAAAATGTACCAAAGAGAACAGAAGCTTTTGGATCTATAAAAGAAACCGCAAGAAATAAAAACAGCTTCAATGACAAATTTTGAAAGGCACCAAACGAGACTGTACATCCAATGCATTCAGAAACAAGACTAATGTTAAACAATTGTATAACCTCTATAGATCTGCTATTGATAATTGACTGGTGATAGTCAGGATGTACAATATTACTGCTCTTCAAATAAACGAAGACCAGATAACATAACATACACTGATGGCCTTCTTTCAGACTGTGCTGCCCTCTAATTTGCTACACACAGTCCGTTCAAAGAAAATCGAAGGCCAATGGTAAGTTTAAGCTGAGACCTACCGCACTTGCTGATTCTATCTGAACTGTCGATGAAAGAGTAACAACTACAATTATGTTGCCAATGTACAAGATCTACTGCCTACCATATATCTTTTTGCTTTGTTGGTTAACGGGGGCCAGAGCATGGAGATTAAAGATCCAGCCCCAATGCAATTGTGCAGTGCAGACTCATTCTATTTTGTCTAAGGGACATGTTAGAGCCCTAAGTCTGAGGATCCATCCCTATGTGCCCCACGCATCTGTCATACTAGCATCAATGCCAGAAGCGAGCCAGTAATCAGCATCAGCCTGCAAAAGCAAGAACTGTAAGCATCATGTTAATAAGACTGCCATAATGTCTGATGTGGAGTAGGGTTCCTTACATCGGAATCTGATGGAACGATTCTCAGAATGCCATTGTCTTGCTTTCTGGATGGTTCAGTTGTATGCATGCAGCCACCATTGATCCATTCCTTTTCCGGTGCCTGATTTAGATCACAATCCATCTGCTGCAAAGCTTGAGAACTATCAGTAGCAACCGCAGGTTCTAATCTGTCTGCTGCCACCAGCTGGTCTGGGTTAAATATCTCCTGACGGTCACTGGTGGGGAAACATAAAAATTGGCTACAAATTAGCATTTTCAAGACAGAGAACACAGGACAGAATTCTACAATTAAAACATTTATCGTAGCTTACCTTATCAAATAGCAATCAATAGGACCCATTGAACTTCTCAGGACAATTTTGTAGTGCTTCTCTTGCAAACCCAGATTCCCATACATGTACTGATCCTGGTAACAAAATAATAAGTGTTAGAACCACAAAGACCTTTCACTTACAAGTCTACTACTATGTAGTTAATGTTATATCAGGATTGTGTACGATTAGGGTCTGGAACTTCAACACAAGTTCCATGAGGAGCATTTATAGCGATAACAGTGGATCCCTGCAGTAAATGGGAATCTTGTTGACATAATTTCATAGTTTGCAAGAAAGAAAAATTTGTTCTGACAAGTTCTAACCTGAAAGCGAGGAATCTTATTTATATCTTCCTTCAAAAGATATAACAACCTAATCAGACAGATCGAAGGACTCAGCTGACTGTACATCCATAAAATTATTGCAGATACAAGAGATTAGAATTTTACTTTCTTTTATCCTCATCTAGGGTGAGGGCTTGTAGTTTCTCTTTTGCTACGCTGCACACCAGCAATTGCTAATCAAAAGGTAGGGAGGAGGGAAAAATGAAGGGAGCAGGAGGCATCTCATTTTCTTGTTACTTTCATGAAAGAACTTACCTTATTTCGTCATCCAACCTGAACTCTTCATCATAAAGAGATTCAAGTTCTTCCTGCAGATAATCAAAATGCACCAAGTTGTTATAACCATATGATTAGATAGAAGTCTATAGAAAACTGCAGGCAAAAATGCGGTTGTTCAAATGTAGTGTCGTGTTTTTATGAACCTTATTCATTAGAATTAGAGGATAACCATTGCTAGGAAGATAGCCGGGCAAAGTCGGCTTGGAGGGAGACTAGAGTATTGGGGGATTTGGGATTAATTCTTCTTCATTGCTTGATTTGTTTGATACACCGCCACCTTTTAAATCCTTTAAATGCTTTGGCATGGACAGACAAGGGGAATTTTTTAACCCCAGCCTGAAAATTCGCTCCCACAGGGAGTCGAACCCAAAATCTAAGGAAAATTTGTGACCCTCATCTTTTGTCCCATAACACGTGTAAACATTCAGAAGATGGGTATGTTAACATTCCATGGCAATGGAAATACCAAAATGCTGCACAAGAGAAATCCCTCAAAAAAGGAAATTATATTTACAGATGTGATGGGCTGATGGCTTCTTTCTTTACAGGCATAAGCAAGGTTGCATCAACTAAAACATTCCTACACACTATCCATTACTGAAACACTTTCCTTATTCACTTGCGCTGCAAGCTACTCAGGACATTGAGATGAGGCCACATTTATCATTTGATCTGTCCTATATACATGACCAAATGAAAAACAGAAAGTGGCCAGCATGGCGGGTTCCAAAGCATGTCAGATAAAATTGTACTGAAGCAGTATTGTACTGATGAGTGACTTCAATTTCAAAAATTCTATAACTATTGACCTATCTATCTTACATGATATGGTAAAAAACGCACAATGTTAGTTAAGCCACGACATAAATGTCTGAACTTAGTATTCTGTATCTTAACTGGACTAAGAATCAAGAAAGGTTACTAAAAAATTGTTCTGCTAGCTTAACAGCACTAAAAAAGGGGAGGTTGTTCATGGTCTGATGTCTGTTTTCCAAATTTTAGATTTGTGAACAAAACAGAGACAAAAGATGAGGGTCACAATTTTGCTCAAATAGTTACAAACTAGTGTTAAGATTAAAAATAATCAAGTAACTAACATATTTATTTCTCAAATACGCAACAGACTTGCACATCACTATTACAGGTAGAAGGAAACGGTCAACATACAAAGACCAAAAGGCCTAGAAATGAAAAGTAGGGATCATATAATCAAGTAGCATAATGTACCTTCAATGAAGAAATTTGGCATTCTATTTCCTTAGGCTTCGACATGTCAAATCCCCTTTCAATATATATTATTTCATCAGTAGAAGCTATAAATAACTGTAAAATATGCTGGAAAACAGAAACAGATGGCACTCACTTCCAGCGAATCATATTCTTAAGTCCCTTTTCAATTAAATGAACACCTTCTAGAACATTTGTTATATCATACATCCTCCTCTTTTGCACCTGCAGAATAGAGAAATACAATACATCAAGGAGCTTGACCCCCCAGATTAGGAATGCAATATAGGAAAAAGAGGAGGCGGGGGGGGATATGTTTTATGACCAAGCAGACCTCCAACGTCTCAGCTGCTTTATTCAAATCAAGGGTCCCATCTTCAGCTCCTTGAAGCAGGTTGATGAACTTCTTCGTCAGCAGACCTGGTAACAAGCTAATGATAAATAAACAAGCAAAGATAGCATCTTAAATTTTGTAGAGGGGAGAAGGGGAGTGTAGAAACTGACTTAGTGAGTTGTCATAGCGGCAGTGGTTTAATGAAGATAAAGAAGGATCAGCATCTCCTGAATAAAAAATGTGAACCCATCAGCTATACAAGTAAAAGCCAATAAATGGCCATTAACCGAACTAATCTGAAGAAATGACAACATGGAACTTTTACCATCAAATGGATGCAGAACATGTAACTTAAATAAGAAAATTAGCAACAGCATACCTTCAATTGCTCCAGAATTTGTGTTGCCCAAGTTGTGTTTAGAAGCTTTTTGCTTTTTTATCCTCTTGATAGCTTTTACAGGTCCAGGGGTAGTCTCCTTATCATGCCCTTGCGCAGTCTCTACCATGTTGTTTTCAGATTGAGAATATTCTCCACTGTTTTGCTCATTCGACTACAATATTGGGAATATGTACATGAAGACTGTCAATAAACATAATACAGCCATAGCACACTAATAGAACAAGAATGTAACAAATCACGCAGCCACCTTAAAGTATAAGATTATTGCTGAAGATCAACTAATACATACATGAGTCTGGAACTAGAAAACTATATATTAAATTAAAGAAGATTAAAAAAGAAAGAAAAGTGAGCAAACCAATTTTTCGAAGTATGAGACTCTCATTCCAAGGAGTGGCAATCATATTAGGTTAGGAAGATAAAAGAAAATGCATACACATTGCATATTATTCGTGGCTAAGTCCTGCACTATGAGTAACAGGACAGTTTCATAATGCCAAATAGCATGAGGTCTCAAACCCAAAGCCCTAGACATATGCAGATAATGATCTAAACTTTAACAGACAACTGACAACAATTGTTTATGCATTTACTCCTGCAGAACATGTTTCATAATGCTTTTTATAGGAGTGAAAAAAAAAATGCGTGCAGTCTGCAGATCAGTTCCAACATGGGAAGCACCACAGAGCATAATCTGAAAGTCTTATTCAAACCAATCACATTCATCATGAACAGACAACTATCAATTGATAAATCGCATCATGGATGCTATTCCTGAAACAGCCAACTTCACAAATAGCCCTGCTGATGCCACCAATGAACCCGACTGATTCAGTTTTCGCATGCTGAAAATGCTGCCTGTAACCATCATTGAGGAAAACTGAAGCTTCAGTGGACACCCAAACCCAGATCATAGTCCCTAGACACATATGCCAACTCAGGACGTCCAATACACTATGACACAATGCTGCTACCACCAGATGACTCTGAAGGATTTGACTTATTGCATCACCATTACACAGTAAACCATTGGAACAGACGACTACACAGCCAACGAATTTGATAGGTTAACTTAAGCCATTGCCCTCGATTATGCAACCTCTATTCGTTAGGAGCCAAGCTAAAGCAGCAGAGAATTTGCCGTGCACGCTAGCTCCCCAATTTCACTGGTGGCATCTATCAATTCATAGCATCGAGGAGCATCGGATGATCCAAGCCAGTGATCGAGCACTATAATCGTCCACGAACATCGCAGCATACCAAAAGACCGAAAGACCATGAGCTATAGTAATCAACTCGAACAGCAGCTAGCTTAGCTACATCGAAACTCGAACAACAGCTAGCTGCATCGAAAGTATGTACGAGGGGGGAGGAAAACCCCAGTGGGAGGTTGATTGACTCACCTGTGCCTTAGGCTTGGGCCCCCTCTTCCCCGCCGGTTCTGGAGCCGGAGGCGGAGCCATCGTGCCAGCTTGCTGCTGGGGCGGCTGGTCGGTGGAGGCGGGCGACGCAGGCGGCGGCGGAGGTGGGGCCTGCACTGTAGCCGCCGCGGGAGCGGGAGCGGGAGCTGAAGCAACAGCAGCAGCATGAGGAGGGGGAGGAATCGGGGACCTCACGGCGGCGCGGGGCTTGGAGGAGAAGATGGGGATGGGTGCAGGGGCGCGGAACAGTTGGACCCTAGGAGCAGCCTGGACCGGCGGGCCGGGCGGCGGCACGGTGCGGCGGAGGTTGACCTGCGGCGGCGGTAGTTGGGGGAGGGGGAGGCTGGAGGAGCCGCCGTCCATGGAGGCGGGCGGGAGAGAGAGAGAGAGAGAGCGCGCGGAGTAGGGTTTTGATTTGCGCGTTGGTGGGGAAGGCGAAGGGAGGAGATGGAAGCGGGCGCGGGACGCGGGAGAAGAACGAGAGAGGGAAAGCAACGGGGGCGAGGTCGCGACCGCGAGGGAAAAGGTTAATAAACAAACTCGGCAACTCTTTGTCTCTCTTTTTCAACGGGATATATATTAGGCTTGTTATTATTTTCTCTCCCCCTTGCTGATTTATTTTATTATTAATTATCATATCATGGGTTTTCTACCGGAAGAACATCTGACTTCGGGCTTCTTTTTCATGGTTTTTTCCTGTTGATGATTTTTTTAGCGTATTGCTAATTTTAGCCTTTTAAGAGCAATAATATAGTTTTACATATGATTTTTTTTATTTTTTGGTGTTGGAAACTCGTTTGTTTGTATATGAAATATGTTTGAATACAATACGTTCTAAGTTGACGATGTAGACTGTGGAAAGAGCTAGCGATAATTTGAGCTTGTATTTCTCTAAGAGCAACACCAACAAAAGAGTTATCCGTATTGTGTAATCTATATATGAGTATTTTAGGAAGAAAAAAAGAGTCCAACGGCTTTAGCAATAGCCATTGGTGCTACAGTAATATATGAGGGAGAGAAAGCCGTAGCTGTAGCAGTAACCGTCGTGGCTTTTTCCTATGGTTTTTTTTACAGCCGAACACCATCAATACTCCATGATCCAAAAGGTTGTTTCTATGTGCTAGTTCATATAGTATCACAACTAAATATCTCATAATGTAATCAAAAGACTTTATCGACATGCCCGGGAATGAATAATCATATCTTGGTTCTCGAAGAGAAATAGAGTAGAGTATTGTGTTTGTATAACCACATTAACGACGGACGTCATCTAACATCAATATATTTTCAAATTCATGTTAAATTTTTACTTCAAAAGAAAAAAAATCGTCTGACCAGAAACCACTTTTGGCAATGCTATTGAAAGAAGTAGTAAAATTAGTTAATAATAATCTAAAAATGTGCACCTTTTTGCTATTAAGGAGCCAAACGGTTTTAAGATATATGAATAGCTAACGTTGATGATTCAAATAAGTATAGTTAGATTAATTATGAAATATATTTATAGAATTTATCTATTTAGAGTAATAAATGCTAATAATTTTTTTAATAATTAGTCAAATTTTGATGAAGTTTGACTCCGACCCTATACATCTAGGATGGAAGTAGCACGCGAATCTGTGTGTGGTGCTCTGGTAAAATCCACGGAGAGAGGCGAGTATTATTTATTGAAAAAAAAATACGTATGGAGGAGTCATTTGTTGTGATGTGATGCTCCATATAGGCCTCCATGACTGACAAGTCCTCCATCCACGCAGCAGAGCTGACGACGGGCAACGTGGTGTGCAGGCCAGGCCTATCTACGTACGGAGTATCTCCGTAGGGACGCCGCAGCTAGACACATGCGGCCTCAGTCACTGGCGCGTGGGGCCGGACAGCTTCACGGGCCCGCGGTCTACGTGCGCTGCGTCCGGGTACGTTTTGGCGTACGGTGGAGAAGGCACACGGAAACCAGGGGCGCGGAGGCCGCTAGCCGCTCCCGGCTCCCGCTAGGCATGTCCGCATGTCTCTGCCGCTGACAAGCCGACCGGCCGCTGATGGAACGCGGCCCACATGTCAGTCCGGGAGAGTCATGCCGGGCGGTGGCGGGAGCGGGACTGTGGGAGGTGCACGCGGCCACGCGCTTGTGTCGTCTGCTGGCCGGGACGGTCGGATGGGGCCCACGCGGGTAGGGGCGTGGACCCCGCTCATCAGGCACCGAGCGAAACCGGCGGACGGCCGGTCGGTCTGCCGCGCGCCAAGTCACGTGGCCCCCAGCTAGCGCGGGCTCGCGGGGAAGCGCGCGCTCCCGCCCCGCGCGTCTGCTGCTAATTGCTACGTTCGGGAAAAAAGAAGCGTAATCATAATCCGTACGCCCTCGATCCTAATTAAAAAGATATAATTCTTACCGGATATATGTTCGTGCGTTACACGAGACCATAATTTTTTTTCACATCTATAGCACTAAAGAGATATTTTTTATGAGCATCCATTAACCTATGTTGTTGTAGAATCAGAGGCTATAGCTCACCATGCCTCCGGTTTACTAGCCACGTAGTAGGATTAGCCTGTGAGGAATAGAACATCGATGATGGACCGTTCTATTATGGCCGTGTCTAGCACCTAGATCGTCTCTACAAGATTGCATTGTCTGCTTTTATTTGTCTTTGATCGTCAATACGCGAACCTTTCAAGAAAATTAGATATTTGCCACCGTGGTGGCTTCGCAAAACTGTCATCACTTTTTAAAACTGTTTTTGATATTATTGATTTTGCAAAATAGCCACTTAGAACGTGTCTCTCGTGTTCCTCCCATTACACCCTTTTTTCTTATTTTATTTTCTATTTTCTTTTTCCTTATTTTCTTATTTTTCTTATTTTTTATATTTTCCTTTTTTTACGTACGTGACTGGTCGGCCGTTTTTTTCTATGAAAGTTCTCGGGGCATTTTTTGTACGGATTTTTTTCCTACCCGACGGACTAGGGCGTTTTTTTACGGAGAGGGCGGGGAGGCGGGGCGGTAGACGATACTCTCGCTTATTTTTTAGGTGTATAATGCCCGTGTAACGAATTTTCATCTACATATTAAAAAATCTATAAATCTAATTACATAAAGCATGTTTTATGATCCTTATTTATCACGCATATATCGTGTAGATCTTTATGTTGTGTGCCTCTTAGTCAGGCAGAGGCTGGGAGTGTTCCAAAGTCTGCATATGAACTCGATGTATTATACTTTGGTTTAATAAAAGCCGCCCGTGCGTTGCACGCGACCACCGTCCTGGCCACGAATATTTGTCCACATCTACTGGGAAGGATTTTGTCATTTTTCAGAAAATAATAAAAAACTATTAAATAATTTTGCATTTGGAACCTAAACTATTTCCAAATGTATCCATGCATCGCACAGAAAAAATAATTCACGGCAATGTAAGTATGAACGTGTGTGGTACTGTTACCAAAAACATTTTTGAGTGTGATTTTCGGATCATTACAATAATTCGTTGCTAAAATATAGAGAACAATTTTATATCAGAAATCTTATATTATTTCTAAATTATTTTTACCATTTTTATATATTCTTTCTCTCTTGTATATTTGCATGAGAAACATTTTCCTATTCTTTTTTCTTTCTCACGCTCTTTTATCTTAGATTGGCAAACCGATACGCGCGTGGAAGACGTGCGGATGTATCCGCCGCGCCTTCCGTGATTTTTTTCAAGTGAAAAAGATGAGGAGATGGAATTGGGATACTACTTAGGCCGCGTTTAAATGACGGAAATTTTTGGTTTTGGCTACTGTAGCACGTTCGTTTGTATTTGGCAATTAGTGTCTAATTATGGACTAATTAGGTTCGAAAGTTTCGTCTCGTGATTTCTCAGTCAACTGTACAATTAGTTTTTTTTCATCTACATTTAGTACTCTATGCATGTGCCGTAAGAGTGTCGCAAGATTCGATGTAACATTTTAGAGTGAATTTTTTTGAACTAAACAGGCCCTTACTTCGATTGCCGTTGGCGACGCCGTGTGCACGCTTGAAGAACGTCATTGATATGGAAACCATCGATAACGTGCGTGAGACCGTTCCCTTGATTATACATGCTCGTACGGACGTGATAAGAACTCGGACAAGTCTTACGTGGTTGATTGGGAAACTGGACACCCAACGTATGCATGTGGAAGCCGTACGTACTTACGTGTCTGTTTCCAGGAGGTGACTGAGCTAATCCGGACTATTGGGAGCGGGGCAAAAGTTACCGCAGACGATAACCCTCCGTGTTTTTTTAGTGTAGAGTAGAAGAGTAATCATAATCCATATTTTTTTTATAGAAGTCAGACAGTTCTAAATTTGATTAAATCTATAAAATAACAACAACTATAATACCAAACAAATATTATTATATTAATTATAGAATATATTTTTATAATACATACCCGTCTAAGTAATAAATATAATAATATTTTATATAAGGTTAGTCAAAATTAAAAGTTTGACTTAGAGGTGGTGCACCACAAGCTCCACGAGGGAGTTGCTTCGCTCGCCTCCAACCAAATGGGGGAAACTCCACGTCTTGACTGGCTCCTCGCGTGAAGCCACGGAAAACGCGCTCCGTGACAGCACATAAGAGCTTAAAAAAATGAACTTTGACCGGTTCCTTAGGCGTGGCATGGCAGTGGATGCCCCTCAAGAATATTTTTTTTATTTTTAACACATTTTTAAACTATTTTCAAGTCTAACACTGTTTAATTTTTTTTTCAAAACTAACACTTTTGGCCGCGCCTATTGCCATGGCACGGCCAATTAACACTAACGCGCCATGCATGGTAGCGCGGCAGGGGGTGACGTGGCACCGGCTCGGGCCCTGATCGGTTGACGTGGCAGGAGCTGCTGCGCCGTAGATCTTGGCATGGCAGTGCCGCGCCACGCCTCACGGCACGGCAGCGCAGACTACATGTCACGCCATGAGCCTCCCTCCCTTTGTCTGCCTTACTTGGAAAAGAGGTGGAGGGTGACCGTGCCGCCCCCTCCCGCCTCTCCCAAGGCTACCGCTGCCCGGCCCTCTCTCCCTGCCTCCCTCCCTCCCTTCCATTCCCCTAAGCTTCTCCTCGGCCTCAGTCATGGTAATGATGCTCTTATTTGTCGTTTGAATGGTGGATTCAAATATTATAAATGGTAGTTAGGGTTTGGAGAAAAATTATATTTGGGAACTATGGGCTAGGGTTTGGAGGAAGATATTAGTTTGATTTTGTTAATGTTAAGGTTAATTAGTTAGTTAGAAGTATGTTTACCATGTTTAGTGTAAGGTTTATTTTTGTTCCTATAAGTGTTGGTTATATTATTTTAGTTGTAATACAAATGATTTTCTTTTACATTAATTTGCGAT